AAAAATACTGAGAAACAATTTTTAATTAGTCACTAAGTAATTTCTCTTGAATTTTAATTTTTTTTTTATTTTCAAGATTAAGTTTAATCCTTTTTTGATGGTACGGGAAAAACAAAAACAAAGAATTCGTTAAGCTTTCAAACATTTAAGTCCAGCAATAGCTTATCATACAAAGGACATCAGCAATGTTTAAAAAAGTTACAATGTACCGGCGAAATCATGTGAAATAACGTTGTTAAATTTAATGTATAAATTATTTTGAATGGTATTTTTTTTATTTTTAAAAGTAACGTTATTTTAATTAATAGTATACAACGACATGATTAAAAAAAAAACTTTTTGTTTCGGTAGCTCTAATGGCTCGAGTAACGGACAGATACAAGAAGATGAACGACGGATCGTCAGTATCTCCTGGCAACCCCGCGAATTCCTGGATGAAATTCTCCGTCAACGTCGTCACAATTTTTAAGAGAAGTCGGGACTCGAGGATCACCAAAGGATACACCCCATTGTACGTGCACTCGACCGATCTCGCGTGCAAGTGTCCCAAGATCAAGCCAAATCAGTGAGTGTAAAAAATTTCACGTTTATCGCATACAAACATCGCAAATTGTATTTGTCAGGCGTAAACAAATTTTTCTTGACTCTTCCACATTTTCTGGAATCACTTATTATTTAAATCAGTTAAAACTTGTCACATGCGCCTGAAATTATTAAAAAAATTATTAGAGCTAAGCTGAACCTGTTCGCTGTAACTCATTTTTATGTATTAAAAATCTTATCTAATTTAATGCATGTGCTACAGTATACTTTCAGAATGAAAACGAAACAGAGAGGCAAAAAAATCATACGAAAAATGTTTGCGATTTCAGGTCATACTTGATCCTAGGCATGGAGAGCGACAGTCCGGCCAAGGACGGCCTAACAGTCACGGAAAGATCCATCGTGATCGAGTGGCAGGACGAGTGGAGCCGCAGGATGCGCCGCTTCGAGCGCCGCGGAGCGAGATCCTGTCATTGAAGGGGCTCCGGTCAGCCGTGCCGGGACACTCATTTACACAGATCACACATGTAACCTCCATTTGACACGCATCAAACGATCCATACATCATACCCACACCCAACAAACTACGAAACTTACACGTCGTGTTTTAATTTTTACAACGCGGATGATGAAAAATATTTAAAAATGAGTCGGGAGGAAGCACGATTATTTCTTTGTATCGGAAAATTCGTATATTTTTTTCAAAAAAGCCGAAAAGCAAAAAAAAGAGGAAAAAACACAAACGTTTCTTGTTTCTCCCTTTATCTTAGTTTTAACAAAGAGGCGGAAGATATGGGGCACAATCGTGACGTTGGGATGGCAATACGGCGCCAGATTGACGCTCGCGCTTGTCCTCGTTTTTCCCTTTAGCGTTTGAAATGAAGAAAAATCAAGAAAAGTGCAAGCTAGCGAAGTGTCCAATTATAATTAGATCATTGTGTGTGAAATTATGACTGGTTTGAAAAATAATTTGTTTTTTTTTCAGAAATCCGAGATTACGTATCTGTTTATCGTATTTATGAGCGATTTTTTATGATTATTTAGCGAACTTTTGACACTGCAAACTTTCTTCTTTATTTTTCTTGCCAAAAATCATTATTATGTGTAATAATAATAATAATAAAAAAAAAGAAACCGATAGCATTTTTTAAAAACAAATAATGTCTGTCTCGCAATGGCTACATATTTATTTATTGTAATAATATCACCGGTACAAATATACCGATGATCGCGCGCATGACTTTATACACATGTAAACGAGATATTCGACTATTATACATGCGTCCGTTAATGTAGATTTTCTTGTACATTTTTTATATAAGTACATAATAAATCGTCAGATAATTATTAAGAAACTAAGAGGAACAACATGAAAACATTTCATCTGAGAAAAAGATTTCACCTCATATGTGATGACACATATCGATTTTTTAAATGACGTCATAATAATATTAATAAACATCTCAGATATCCGTTAATGGAAACTATGCCAACAATGAGACATTGTATTTTCACACTTAATTTTATCGAAAGAGCCATCACTACAAAATAAAAAAAGATAATAGTGAGTTGGATGACTTTTCTCAGAGCGTATTTCCTTTTACAATGAATATTATCACAAATAAATGAGCAAACGGTTATTACCTAAAGTAGATCGCAAGAGCAAAGGCTCGAAGTGCCAATTTCCACGAAAGGCCATAATAATACTTATACGAAAAGTTAATGAAACCGATGGAAACTTTTTAAGGTGTGTCTTGAAACTGCGTAAACGCAATTTTTTTTTTTTTGTATTACATAAAACGCTTCCATCAAGGCCTTTACTGGTGACTGAATATCACTCCTTACACATGTTAAGTATAGTGGAAATGAAGCGACTTCGTAGGCCATGAAGAATGTTCAGTATATTAAATTTACAAAGTCTTATATGTACAAAAAATATATTTTATAGAAAAATAATTTTTTTTTTGTTTTATTGTACGCAAAGTAAATTTGATTCAAAGCTTATTATTAATGCGATGATTTATATTTTATATAACTAATCGAAATTTTGCTGTGCATGTCCGAATGCACTAATGAATTTTGTAATTGAATATAAAACGTGGAACATTTGGCACATCCTTTTTTGTACTAACGTATTATGAATATATAATATTTATTACAAAGCAAAAACGTGCGGAAATATTAAAAAATTGAGCTTCTATCTGCGTTTCGCATTTATTATACCTACTCACGAATTTGTGTAAAAAAAAATTATGATTCTTGAATGAGTTAATGTGAAAAATTATCTTATTTACAATAAGATCACAAAATCAGCTTGAAGGATCTTTTTTTTTCAATTTTATTCAACACGCCAGCTTATTATAAATTAATAATGTAACATTCAACATTTCTAAAGTAAAAAATTGAATTTTAAATTTCATACTTAAAGTCTCAGAATAGTAGATTTTGAAAATAATTACAGTAATGTAACCTTTTTAAATTTACCGTCAAGATTATAGTAGTAATAAATAAGCATGCGTTATAATCTAATATATTTCCCAATATCTAACGAAACCGAGTAAATAATATGCTTCATATATATTTAATCAGTTAACCATTGGTAAACTGAGATTCACCAGAGTATTCGACTATTGCACGAGAATCTTAAGCAGGTAATTGCACGTCGGGAGTGATGTTGATAGCAATCAAAGGTAATCGTATAAGCACCTTGTAAATCAGTCGAATACTTTGGTACACGCTATATTCGCTACAGACTTTTCTCTGAATGGATGAACCCGTAGAGTTATGAACGGAAAGCGACAAACGTAAAAAATAAATGAAAAACTTTTACAACAAATTGCCGTGCGACGAGTTTAGCATTTTTAATCGTTTACCAATAATAATGCTATGTAGAGCTTAATGGATAAAAAAACTAATAAAAGCTTGAAAAAGGTAATCAGAGGAAATTGTCGAGCATAATTGAACGAAATTTGTACATCATACAGGCGAACAAACACAACTCGATGGATGTGTTATATTTATACTACACAGACTTTTAAGCTAATATAGTTATGATAGAGTACATGAAATGACGTAATTTAAACTTTATAATATATCAAGGCATATAGACATATTGTATAACATCAAAAAGGAGCAGGAAACGTAAAGGGTAAGGTAAAGCATTATGTATATCGATATACGACTATGACTAGCTCTCGTTTTAAATTATTATCCTAATTGTCACGTCGTGTATTGTGGTGTAATAAATGTGATTAGGTAGTTATCAATGCGAAATAAATATGCAATGCGTCGCAAAACATTTTTTATTTATTAACCTTCCAAATTCTCCTCTCTTAAAATTAGATATTTCTTTTTTATTTTTTCAAAAACCTTCATGCAAAATGAATCAATGCAAAACACGCAGGTAATATTCCAAAAAGTCATATTATTCAATGGTTAAAGTAGTTATTGCACGAAATGAAAATCAATGAATTGTGCTGAACTTAAGTACCTAATACCACAAACATTGTTATGTTATTGGCCTGACAGAGCATGAAGGGATAAATACAGATTTATAGATACTTAAACCCACGGCCAATAGGAATCTGATGGCGGGTGAATGCCATGCTATTGTCACAGTGCAAAAATTATATATTTTTCATTCAAAGGCTGACGACTCAGAGACTTTTCAGCTTATTAAAAAGAGATGCTGCGAGAAATACCATGGTTGCAAGAGCTTTTAGTTTACTCTACATATTTCTTGACTGTCTTAAAAAAGACAAATTTTAAAGAAATGAAAAAAATGATGTATTTTTTGAAGCACCATTGGACACTGCGACTAAGGCAATAAGAACAGGTGCTCATCGCGATAAGTGAAAATATTCAAATTTTCACTTCAATAACTCACCGTTCACAAAAATCCAAGTTCACTGTGGTGTTTATGAAACATCTTATTTTTTGAATTTTAATATGAATAAATTTACAGAATTATTCGTTGTTTACAGCTAAAATGATAAATCATTCGATAATCTTAAAAATAAGTGCTATATATAAACTGAATATTATTTCAAGTGTTGTTTTTGTCAAAGGTACACTCATCACATTTAATCTTGACAGAATACTTTATTTGGTTTTTTGCGTTTCTTTAACTTTTAAATGAAATCTCATAAATCAACATACCACCACAAAATATTGACGATTACATTTGAAGCATCGGATGATTATGGTTATTACAAGATGTCTTATTGTTAAAATTTTTGTTTACATGTCATTTATATATTTATAATAATTCTAAACATTTAATTATAAGTTTTAGTATCACCAAAGCATTACGATCAATATCATTGTCGTAGAATTTGAACTTTCAATGATTGTGCCAAAAACAACGTATGACGTCTCAGTATTTTTTTGAATCATCATTACATTAGGAATACTTTAAATGTATACGTGTATACAAATTGAATAAATTTTAATGTGAAAACCATTTTTTTTTTTTCATCTTAGTTAATTTAAAAAAATATGTATGTTATATTTCCTGTCGAGAAAATAATGTAGTGCAGAATTGGAATAAGTAAATAAGTTAAAATATTGTACTGCATTAAATTTATTAAAAGCGCCACATACATTATTCTTTCGGTAACATATTATTATATTTATAACATTCAAGTAACTTTAAAAAATTTAGTATTTAAAAAACTGCTAGTCACTGAAAACACTTATTTATTTTAACGAGGTTGAAACTTAAACTTGCACCCAATTTTTGTCCAAATAAAATTAAATTTACGAAAATACTATTTTTATTTATAGATAATATGTGGTATAATAATTCACAGAAAAATTAAATTAACAAAAATTTAAATGTAACAGTTTGTAGAAATATGAGTTATTATAACAAGGTAAAATTGAATACGATCATAAAATATGAACATCAAAATAAGGATATTGACATCCAAACACTAAACAATGGTTGTTTGTTGTAAAAATTTTACAAACAACATGAATTTTCATCAAAATTACCACTAAAATTATAAAGTTGAGCATATCTTTATTTATGTTTTACAAATGTACATAAACAGCTTGCATTTTAGCAATTACTGATATGCTTTATTGGAGTTTTTGAAAATACAAATTTTCATATAAATACCGCCAAAAATTTTTTCATTTCATTAACAATCAGTTCATTCAACTAATTGTACATTGTATATCCAATTCAAATATATATTGTACAGTTAATATAGTACACAAAAAATGATTGTCAAACCATTATGTCTTGTTTTTCTGGCAACAGCAGTATTAGTAAGTAACTTGAGTTATTGAATTTATCATCTATAATCTTTGATTTATCTATACTATAATTAATCGACTTGATTTTATTTTTAGTGCCAACCTCTTCATTTGGCACCAAAGGTAAGCCTTCCACTATAAGTTTATAACACATTTTAAGTTAAAATTAAATAACAAAATCTTTAAAAAGTGTATAATGTTGAAGTGTTACATCATATACATAAATAAATCACCAAAAAACATTTGGTCTTATGAATAGAATATTTAATTTCTTCGTAACTGCATCTCAAATTATCAATTTTTTCGTTAAAGGTGAACAGCAAAGTAGATGTGAACGCAGATACAGGAGCTAATGTAAATGCAGTAGCTAAATTGAAGTCGACAATTGAAGTCAACGCAAATAAAAAATCAAATGTTGTTATTGATGCAAGGGACAAGACAAACGTCGCTGCAAATGCTAAAGATTTGTCTAATCTACACATCAGAGGAAGAGTACATTCCAACGTAGAAGCCAATGCAGACTCTAAGTCCAACACAAAAATTGATGCTATCCATGGATCAGAGGCCAATACCAATGCCAGAAACAGTGCCAATCTCGACGTACTTAGTTTGGACGCGTCTCGTGTCAGTGCCAACGCCGATACCAAATCCAGCACTAAGATTGATGCTAACCGGGAGTCTCGAGTAGATGCTAATGCCAAAAACGGTGCCAATCTTGACGTGTTGAGCAGTGAATGGTCCCGGGTGGGTGCCAACGCTGATACCAAATCCAATACCAAGATTGATGCTAACCGGGCATCTCGAGTAGATGCTAATGCCAAAAACGGTGCCAATCTCGATGTATTGAGTAGCAAGTGGTCTCGTGTGGGTGCCAATGCCGATACCAAATCCAACACCAAGATTGATGCTAACTGGGTGTCCCGAGTAGATGCTAATGCCAAAAACGGTGCCAATCTTGACGTGTTGAGCAGTGAATGGTCCCGGGTGGGTGCCAACGCTGATACCAAATCCAATACCAAGATTGATGCTAACCGGGCATCTCGAGTAGATGCTAATGCCAAAAACGGTGCCAATCTCGATGTATTGAGTAGCAAGTGGTCTCGTGTGGGTGCCAATGCCGATACCAAATCCAACACCAAGATTGATGCTAACTGGGTGTCCCGAGTAGATGCTAATGCCAAAAACGGTGCCAATCTTGACGTGTTGAGCAGTGAATGGTCCCGGGTGGGTGCCAACGCTGATACCAAATCCAATACCAAGATTGATGCTAACCGGGCATCTCGAGTAGATGCTAATGCCAAAAACGGTGCCAATCTCGATGTATTGAGTAGCAAGTGGTCTCGTGTGGGTGCCAATGCCGATACCAAATCCAACACCAAGATTGATGCTAACTGGGTGTCCCGAGTAGATGCTAATGCCAAAAACGGTGCCAATCTTGACGTGTTGAGCAGTGAATGGTCCCGGGTGGGTGCCAACGCTGATACCAAATCCAGCACTAAGATTGATGCTAACCGGGCATCTCGAGTAGATGCTAATGCCAAAAACGGTGCGAATCTTGACGTCATAAGCAATCAAATTTCCTCAGTAGCTGCTAATGCTGATCGTAGATCAAACTCTAGAGTCTCTGCCAACAGACGGAGCCGTGTTGGGTTAAATGCCAATCGCAGAGCTAATGTCAATGTTGTAGCTGATAATTAGTGACATTTTTTAAGCTTACGCACAATACTTGTTCAACTATCAATATTTTGTAAACCTTTTGTACTCATTGCAACTCTGCTTTATGTATGTACTAATGTAATCATAATACATAGTCTTTTCTTGCATCCAATCTTTTAGTGATTGAAGCGTACCTTTGTCATTGTTTTAATGTTTTAAACATAAGTCTGAAGTTTTCATACTTTTAGACATTTTTTTTCATTTATTTACATCTCACTACTTTATTATTTTTATTTTACTTATTATACTTTAATTTTATCCTCTGAAAAACTTTGATAGTTGGTGTACTAGCCTCCTAGTCTGAAAAACTCAAGGGGTTGTAAGTTCAAATCCCGTTGAATATCATTGAGATTTTTGTCTTGAGAATTTTCGATACAATGAATATCCACTATGTTACAAAGCTACTAGTTTGATTTTGAAGACAAGTAGTGGATTTTTTTTGGATGGTGTCTGGACGTCCAAAGGGGCTTCCTCGTTGAGGGAAGCTAACAAGGTGGTTTTTTCATGAAATTATTATCAACAGAATGGCATAAAATCTTGAGGAATCATTTATGAAGTTACAATACACCACCCCTCAAAATTTTAGAGTAGGTAGATGAATATAAACGCAAGAAAATGATAAATGAAAAGTAAATTATAAGCAAGTGCTCTTATGGCAACTAAGCATTTTTTCACTGAAAGTTGTAGCCTAGTTATTTATTTACTGAACATAATGAAGTAAAAAACTGACAGAATAAAGCTTATGCAATTTTAAATATACTGCTAGCTTGAAATATATGTGTTCATGGACTTAATCAAAAGACATTAAAAGAAACACTGGTCTACATTTTCGTTTCCTATGTTGAAAGCATATGTAAACATCCACTGCTGGTATTTTGAAGTTACGAGAAAATTTTACATAGTCATTCCTACGAACTTTTATATCGGATATCATGACCTAAAATTTTTCAATCAGTACTTAATTTGACTGAATAAACAATATTTACAAACAATCATTTGAAATTTAAGCAGTATATATAACTATCAATTTGATAGTTACACTTTTGACTCGGGAGTCATGACAGAACCACTAGGCATACTTGAGGAAATAGGAGGGAATAAAGGAATAAAGGGATGAGGTATTAGAAGTAGGAATTCGGATAGGTAAAACCTATGTAATAGGGTACTTATACGCGTAATCTTATACAATTAGTACTAAGTACTTTTTGTAAATGCGATTTTGCTGTGCCTCCATTTTTATATTGATATTTTACTTTTCGATGTGTACGATAATCTGAAATTGCCACCAAAACGGATAAAAATGGTATCATTGGATATAAAAAATACATGCATTTCTAATAGAGAATTTTTTTCGTTTTCAAAGCTTAAAAATTGTTTAAAGTTTTAAATGAATTGTCGATGCTAAAAACCCTTGTTTGAGATTTTATTTTCTGCACATCTATTTGGATTATCCGGTTTTCCACACGAATATTACGAGGATATTAAATTAAATAATTTGAATTACTAATACCATAACTACACGTTTTTATTGAGTATTTGCAAGTTTCCAACCCACATAGCTAGCTGGAATGCTTTTTTTTAGATTTTAGGCTGTGGTGTTACAACGACAAGGATTCACGTACCTTGTAATACTTAACATCACTCATTCGAATTACAAATTGCAAGCTGTGCGCTCGGGAAGGCGGTTTACTTGTGATTATGGAAATTGCAAAACTAAGAATTGGGATCCCCTAAAATTAAGTAGACGCCTCTAGGAAGTCTCTACTCAGTCCACAGTCGATATTTTGTACTACGAATTTTTCTTGCGGGTAGAGAAACAAGACTTTTTTTTCCATGAAATCATATTTCTTTTGTTCACTTATGTACACTTTTTTTTTTTTTTTTATCGTAAATCTGTTTGGGAGTTAATGATCACATGCCACAAAATATCACCTTCTTTTGGTAAATAAAAATTATTTCTACTGTATAGACAAAAAAAATCTATTAATATACCAAGGTTACTTAAAATTGATTAAAATAACTGTTAAAATATCATTTGTAAAACATACGAGCAAAATAAATTTCAGTAATACAGGTAAACTTGAAAATTGCAGTATGATATCACATTTTTGCTGCTCAATAGGTAGTAACAGAAATTTCACTAAAACCAGGTCATACCAAGAGGCAAATCTGGCAAAGTGCCTGCCTTTTTTCTTTTTTCCAGATTTTCGTAAAATTCAGAAAAATCTACATAGGCATCAATTCTCTCGTCAGATTCTGTTTCTGGCGTTTCACCGCTTGCTGTCATTGTCGCATTATCTGATGACGTGCTTTGTCCCCAAGCTGAGGCATAATTATTGTCTTCTTCACTCTCCTCATCGTCATCGCTCATGTGAATCACCGTGTGCTTGTACGGATCGTATATTTCACGCGGTGGCCCCGTTGGACTTTTTATGGCGTTTGGCATGGTAAAATTAAAATTACGCACGAGGAGCGTTATGTCGTCGCGCTTACCTTTTGCAAATGCACTGGCACCTGCATTCAAGTTGGCGTCGTGGTGAATACGTACAATTTTATCGACAACTGCTTGAGCTACTCCAGTTAGCGTTGACTGTATTTCGAACTGAAATTTATTTTCATTTATAGTGACAGAAAAATAAAATTACATTATTAATAATACAATTTTTATTAAAAAAAAAATTTTTTTTAATTTTTTTTATGGAGTGTACCGTACCTGTTCAACTGCCATCAAAGTTAGTTCTTTATTGACTTGATCAGTACCGGTGGCTTCCTCCAATGATTTGTACAATCCACGGGACATTAGCAGAAGAAATTCACACGATTCGTCAATCTCTATGCCTCCATGGACTTCTGGTTCGGCTATAATTGGCTCTAAAGCAGCAGGAGCTAATTCTTCAAATTCCTTATATTCACCTTTAACTAGATAATTACCGAGACAACGAGTAATTTTTTGATTACCAAGGTGGGAGCCTAGAAATTTTTTTTTTATTTCTTTCAGTTGTCAAATACATTTACCTCACTCATTCTTTGAGTTACCTTGACTGATTGATTTAACATCTAATCCTAGCTGCGATAGTCTCAACAATTCGTCTTCATTTTTTAATGTATGATCAATGCTTAACTGGGCAATCCTCAAACTTTGATTTTCATCTGCTTTACACAACAAAGCTCTACAATCCCCAACATTGGCAACGTAAAGTTTACCATTAAAAACCAAGGCCACAATGGCACTGGCACCAGATGATAGTTCACAATTTATTCTATTTAATTTATTCACCTATTAGGATTAATTCAAATGAGATAATAGTTTTGTATACTTTTATTAAAATGAACAACGTTTATAACTTACAATTTCAGGAAAACTTTTGAAAGCTTTGTATGAATTCATGCCAGTAGGAATATCACATTGTAAACTTGTTTTTTCTGCTATTAATTCCTCTATTGTATCCATGTAGCTACGTTCAACAGCTATAAAAGCTTGCCTAGGAACAAAAGACAAAATGTATTGAAATATCTCTAGAATTATCAAAGATTCTAAAACATACCTTAGGACTTCTTTAATTTCTTCATCAGTAGTTAGGCCGTTTAGCTGACCTAAAAGTATTTCAGCAGCCAAACGCTGCATAGCAAAATCAGCCACCTTAATGCCTTCATATCCGTCAAAGATAGCATACAAAGACGTAGACGCATCAAATTGACAGTGAAAGCTTCTGTCCTCAAACGAATGCTCCTCCTGACGATGTCCATCTTCTCTGTAAATTTGATTTGTTGAAAAACCAACACCTGAAAAGCTTGATATTAATATAATATTAAAGAACCCTATAATGAAAAAAGTTAAAGGTAAGATGGTAAGGATACAATACCCGACTGCTTGCACACTGGTAAATCATCGGTCCAACTTGTCTGTGGAGCTGGACACAGCGTCAGAGCTGGATGCTGAGCTTCAGACTGCATTTTTTTTCATTCCAGCTCCAAAATTTAATTATTTAACTCTGCACTTCATAGTATGTACATACCACATATGTTTAGCTAGGTCTGTCAACGGCCAACCTATTACAGCTGCAGTCTTTTGAATTTATGATCTTGTAAATTAACACAAGGCTTGCGATGAAAACAAGCAATAAATTTGTCTACTTGAGTATTGATATTTCGGAGCACTGATCGCTGTTGTTGCAGAACTTTGAATTAATTAAAACTCACAACAATAAAGTGACATGAGTGACATCCGTCGAATTGCCATCCGCAGCAGTTTTTCATGAAGCAGAGATTCTGTATTACCGACCGCCGGCTTTTGACATTAAGTGGTTTCTATCTTATCAACAAAAGATTCCAGCTCCAGAGTTGAGAAAAAATACACTAGGTGGCACTAATTTTGAAATTCCGCGCGTGCGCATATCATCGAATCCATCACGCTCATCACGCATCACGGCATCACCGGCATCATCTCCTCGCATGTCTCGCATGTGTCGCCGAGTCGCATCACTATATATAGCACACTAATAGCAGAAGCTCAATGCTGATTGCCGCGGCCGCGCGTCTGCAAAGTTACGGACCGAAGAAATGTGCGAACAGTACAAACACGATACGTCAATCAGTCGTTCAGTGGAAGTCGAGGAGTGATCAAGTCCCGTTGGAGTTGATGATTATATTTATCAGCAGAAGGTATACCTACAGTGAACATCACGCAGTGGTGCGCTAAAAGTATAAATACACACGAACGCGATGCAGGCGGCAGTAAACAATGTGCGTGACAGCGACACGTCCTTGTGGCTGCACAACAAACTCGGAACGTCAAATGACAGCTGGACCGGGAGCTCGATTTGTTCGCAGCTCAACGCCGAGGTGCTGCGTAACATCAAGGATTGCTTTCCCGACCTCCAGACCCAGGTCAAGCTCAAGCTGTTGCTCTCGTTCTTTCACATACCAAGGCGCAACGTCGAAGAGGTAAACTTATGTGCTGTTTTCGGGCATTGAATCTACCGTTTATTTTTTTATCTAACTTTATTTAAGTGCCAAGAATAATTTCATGGTTTGGTGTAGAGAGAAAGAGAGTGAGAATTGAGGTTAGGGCTAATCATTATATGATAGTTCTGTATTTTCTGGTGATGCATATTGTGTGTACTTACACTTGTATTTTGATGATAAGCTTAATTGATTTTCTAATCTGATTACGTAGTGATTGCGGGTTTGACAAATGATGTACCTGTGTATTTGCTAGCGGATCGTGTAAAGTGATGGCAATCTAGGGTCTTCTCTATTTACACATACATTAGTTACCTATAGTAGATTACTGTGGGCTTCTTTTAATTGTGATAGTACTGAAATGTATGCATTTTGTCAGGTTTTTTTTCAACAAATGCTACATTAATTGACCAAAGGCATTTATTAACTTATACAAAATGGTCATTGCTATACAAAAACAATGAATCTACATTTACTTTGTACAAATTATCAACTCAATTTATACACTTGATTTTTAGTGGCGAGTTGAGCTTGAAGAAATCATCGAGGTAGCATCCTTGGATTCTGAATTATGGGTGTCAATGTTATCAGAGGCGTTAAAAACCTTACCATCAACAGGCTCTCTGAATACAGATCTAAGAGACTTCGACGAGCGCCGGTCAATATTTAGCGAGCTTATAAACGACCTCCGTAAACAATTGAGGAAAAAAAGTGATCCCAACATGTTACCTCTTGAGTGTCACTTCTTGAACAAGCCAGCATTGACATCAGTGGTTGGTCATCTTCCCAACCCTGTGCAACACTTTAAACTAAATGATAAAAGAAAAGCAAAAAGTGCAGGACTTAGGTCCGAGTTATATCAGAAAAGCCTGGATGCTGCAAATAATTTTAAAAAGAGCACAGCACCGACAGTGCCCGTCAGAAGTCGAGGAATGCCAAGAAAAATGACAGATACAAGTATGAAATATTTTTATCATTATTCAAGTTAAATAAGGTCTAAAAAATTTGTTTTCGACATTCTTTTAGTAAAGTAACTCTTGAGCATCATGCTGATCAAATTAATAATCGTTTCAAACGTTTTATAGCACCATTAAAAGGCATTCCATCCCGTGTACCGACTATGGGCTTCCGGTCACCAACTCTTTCATCACCAATGACGAATCGCCCATCATTGGTCAACAGAGTTCGCAAAGATGGTGGTATCAAATTACTGGATATAGCCGAGCAACCGCTTGGTTACGCACAGGCAAAGAAACGCAAACGCCAGCAAGAATTGGAAGAGCAACAGAAAAAGGCCGAGGAAGCAAAAGCAGCAGCGGCTCAACCCGTGGCTCCAGTCGTTCCGACAACCGAGGCCTCCACGACACCAGAGTACGCCCAAGGACTGGCGCCAGCCATCAACCAACAGCCAGCCACACCAGTTGCAGTCACTACCGTTGTCACACTGGCGACACCGCCTGTCAGTGTCGAACAGAAGCCAGTACTTCCTTACGCCCCTACAATCAGCACTGCCGCGGTACCTGTCACCCTTGCTACACCAGCTGGTATGATTTTTAAAAAATTACCTCTTTTTCTTTGTCTCTCTGGTCAGATATGGTTAAAAATAACGTTTTGTACCAAAGTAGTTGCAACAACATCTGCAAATGCGGTCGCTGCGACCCAGCATGTCATCACTCCCGTCGATTCTATTCCTGTAACTGTGCAAACAGTTAGACCACCTCCAACAGTCACTCAGATACGTATTGCTCCAAGTACACAGCAACAGCCGAACGCAGCAAATGCGAGAAAAGGCTTGTCACTCACGGTCAGTATTAAAACAGTCTTATTGTAAAATATTTAATATCTTTTATGATAATTAATATTTTTATCCTTGACATTATAGAGAGAACAAATGTTGGAAGCTCAGGAGATGTTCAGAACTGCCAACAAAGTCACCAGACCAGAGAAAGCTCTTATTTTGGGTTTTATGGCAGGATCAAGGGGTGAGCTCCTGCAATATTTTATAGTTTTGACCATTTTTAAACATTTATTTACCTTATTTTTTGTAGATAACCCTTGTCCAAAACTGGGAAACATTGTAACAGTTATGTTGTCAGAAAATGTGGAAGAAGTCACTCAACCAGATGGTTCAACAGTATTAATGCAAGTAGAAACGCATTTCCAAATGAATTATACCAATGGTGAATGGAAGAGAATTAAAAAAAATCGACGAATTATTAATGAAGAGACTAATAATGCAGTTACAGCACACTGAATCAGCCTTTCTGCTAGTGCCTCTTCTACAATTTTTGTTATTTTTTATTTCTTACATGTACCTTTGAATTCGTGACGTAACACATAACTTGCGACACTTAAATATCACTACAAATAAATTTATCTTGCGTATTGGTGTAAATCGTATTTGTACATATTTGAATATAGAATTATTGATTATTGTACGCAATTAGCAATGTAAAGTAATTTTATCGAAAGATTCGCGCTTGCCAAAAATTTAATCTCATTCAATACGTCATATTCAAACTTTTCAAGCAAAACGCACACCGATACGCACTAATTTCATTTGTAATTGCATAATTTTTTTTACACTCAAATTAAATTCTAGTATTTAAGGATTGTTTTAGTTAGAAAGAAGATACCTACATTTTTATGTTTATAGCTTGACATTATTTAAGATTTAAGACAAAAAAATTATGCTTTAAGTCATAAAATTTGTATTTTGATACACTCAGCATTGGAGGATATAAAAAAAACGACTAATTACTGTCTCTGCGAAGCCTTTAAAGCCTTAAATGTTTAGTGTTATTGTGAAGGATGATACAAGAAAAAATATGAAACGCGGTTGGATAAACTATGAATAAATCTGTAAATATAAAAATGTTACATAATTTTTTTTGTATAAAAAATGTTGTAAAACAAAGTATATAAAAAATACAAATTCTATAAAACTGATTAAAATTTTTAAAAATACATTTAATTAAACATTCATATTCTTAAACAATTACTCATAAATCGAAGTCAATCCAGGCAAATTTCTATTGTAAAATTACTTTGCAATAAGTTTTTCAGTTTAAAAAATACTATGTACACCATTCATATCGATTACATATTTTTGAGACAAGCTGAAGTTACATAACCCCTTAATTTTACATTCCGGTGTGTGTTTTCCATTCCCAATTGACAATTATTCTTCTTTTCACAATGTCACGATTGTTAGTCAACTTAATTCCACAGGCGAAAAAATTGGTAAGCAAAACCGAAACACTGCAACAATAATCATCCAATCTACTGTTTTGTAAAACTGTGTGATTAAAAAAAAGGTTGATACATCAAGAAGGTTAATGTGTAATAAAAATTTTGTTTCGGCTTCAGGCTACAACAGCTTCACAAACAGTGATCAGAGTTAACAAATCACAATTGAGTGAAAGCATCAGATCTTTTTCGGTAAGCTCGAGGCTCTTGGCTGATTTACAGATTTCCAAGCCAGCTCCAGATTTTTCAGGCACTGCCGTTGTCAAGGGAGATTTCAAAGAAATCAAGTTGAAGGATTATAAGGGAAAATATGTGGTGCTATTTTTTTACCCCCTGGATTTGTAAGTAGTGGCTCTGTTATATAATCTCAAAGCTTTTGGTAACAATTGTAAATTGTTTGGTTTACATGGTTGACATGTTTATTTTTTTACAGCACCTTTGTTTGCCCTACAGAACTTATTGCCTTTAGTGAAAAGGTACAAGATTTCGAAGCCTTGAACACTCAAGTAATAGGAGTTTCGACCGACTCTCATTTCAGCCACTTGGCATGGATCAACACTCCTAAGAAAGAAGGTGGTCTTGGAGGAGATTTGGGATATCCTCTGCTCAGCGATTTGAACCAAAAAATATCAATGGATTATAAAGTCCTCATCGAAGAACAAGGAATAGCTCTACGTGGACTATTCATCATCGACAAAGATGGTCTCTTAAGACAAATCACTGTCAATGACTTACCAGTTGGTAGAAGTGTCGATGAAACCTTGAGGCTCATCAAGGCTTTTCAATTTGTTGAAAAGTACGGCGAAGTCTGCCCAGCTAATTGGCAGCCAGATTCTAAGACCATAAAGCCAAATCCAAAAGACAGCAAGGAGTATTTCAATTCTGTTAATTAGGTAGTGTATGATGTTAAAGTGCCTTTTGTATATTTTTATTTCTAAGTGATAAATCTCGAATTTTTGTAAGAGTTTAGATAATAAATGTAACTAGTTTTAGTTGACAAATAAAATGTTAAATGTAAATGTTGAATTGGTGTATAAAACATATTTGATGATTTTAGGGTGTGAGATTACATGGAGTCTGGCAGTCTGCAGACTGGCAGAATCGCGCTAAGTTTAAAATATGTTTCAATATTTATATTTAAAACCTGTTACGTATGAAAAGAAATAATTATCGTAATACATTTGCATTTCTGTATTAACTAATATTTATGAAAAAAAAGGCGACGAAAAACGTTTTGTCACAGTTACACATTGTTATACATACCAGATAACATCAGTGACGCTACTGACCGACTGTGCGATGGTAACATAAATCTATAAAAAAAGTTATAAAATAATATTTGACACGTTTTATTGTAAATGAAATTGATTGTAACTAAGCCTTTATTCTGTAATGACAATAATTACAATTTTTACTTTATTTTACTGAATTATTCAGAGATGTTATAATTTAAACATAATTTAAACTTAGCACGATTCTGCCAGTCTGCAGACTGCCAGACTCCATGTAATCTCACCCTTATTCAATCATAAATTAATAAAAAATTGTATATGGAACTAAATTGTTTGGTTCTTAAATTGATCCCATGTACTTGCCGATTTTTTTTGTAGAAAATCTTTTTAATTAAGAAATAATCTAAAAATTTTTTAAAAATAGAAGAAATCGGCGAAATTGGTAAGTGTTTTTCAAATTTTAAATTTTAAATTGTGTTAAATCTCACGACTGTGAAAAATTTTTGAATTTGCATCTTAATCAATCGCAAATGGCGCCAGTTATGGATTTCACAATTGAAGTATAGTTATGTAAGTTACTCACAGAATTATGATAAACGATGATTCTTCAGTTTTATACTAATTTTGTACAGTGGATGATTTATAAGAAGCACACGTTCTTTATATTTTTCTTACTAGTGTGAACTGAAACGTTAAATTTGCAACAAAGCAATATTCACTGGCACTACACCCATAAAATACAAATTTATTAAAAATAATATAAATACCCTTTATAAAAAAGTTATTATATGTACTACCGGGAAAACTGGTAAATTGCAATGATGCAGGTTAGTTAATAATTTTTAAATATGCTTTTAATATATCATATTTATACCATGCAATGCTATACTCACTATTAAATTTTGTTGATCATGTTTACTTACTACAGTTATTTAATCATGAAAAATGAATATTTATTATTATTTTTTTTTTATTTATCAACAGATTCCTGACTTATCACCCGAGGACATTCGAAAATACATGAAAGAATGCCTCATAGAAAATAATTTGGATTTAGGTATAAAATCGATTAATGTTCACTTATTTTACTGAGGTGGCTTATTGCAAAATGTCTAAAAATTCCAATAAATGTATAAATATATGCGTTCACTGTCACAGGTTTGATGGACAGTCAAAAGAAAGGTGTCAAGGGTCCTACTGAAAAAGAAGAAGGATGTTTTTTGGCTTGCATGGATAAGAAAATGGGATTAGTGAGTTCTAAAAATCTTATTATGAGGGAACATTTTATGCATTGCATAATAAATGTTGCTCTGCTTTTTGTAGATGAAGGATAACGGGTCTTACAACGAGGACATTTTTTTGTCTGGTGCACAGTCACCGGAGCACAGATCCGAAATGAAGCGAAAATTCGATGCAACCATGAAAAAATGTAAAATTGAAGGTAATCTCTGATGCACCAGAGTTGAATGTAATGAAAATTGCTTTTCTTTTTATTTAAAAAAAGTCCAAACGTTATAAATCTTACAAAATGAATTATTGGGTTATCGATATAGCGTTACATTAAATTAGAATGTACACACACTCCTCCTTTTTTTGCGTAAAAAAAAGATAATTGACAAAAAAAATTTTGTTGTGAATTTAATTGACTTTCATACATATGCAACGTACTACTAAAAAAACCCGTCCCAAAATTCTATCCATTTACACGGTGCATTATTTGTTTTTATAATTAAAAAAAAAAATTTTTATTTTTAATTTACAGCTATCGATGATGTGTGCAAGTTCGCGGCCTGCGTCAATAGACAACCTTATGATCTGTAAGTATTGTTTTGAAAAAATAAATATAAAAATATACATGAGCGCAAGCCGAAAATTCGATTTATTTTTTCAATCAACGAATCCTTTGTTCTCTAAAAAGTTCCAAGTTTATTACGTTACAAATTGTTTTCGCTGAAAAAAAAAACTTATAAAGAACCGTGTTATGCTTAGCAATGAATGAAAAAGTTGTTTTAGCAAAAATAATCCATCCTACTTTCAGCAAAAAAAAAAAAAAAATAAATAAATAAATAAAAAGTATCCTTTCTCAAGCCTGCCGAGATCGACCGAGAAAGAAATAATTCGCGCCGAAGGCGAGCTGAATCGAAAAGCAGGGGATGGAGCCATATATGCCAGTACAGTGGAAATTACGAGCTTCAAAGGAGGGAGCTTATTACAGGAGACGAGGTGCCAGACGCGGGATATCTTGTAAAAATACGGGGACGCCCCCGCGGGACGCGACGGGATAAGCCGGGCATTTTCTCGGCGAGGGTGAGCCGGGGAAAACTGAAAAGTGACGACGCGAGATAAACGGCTCTCGACTTTTTACGCCCAAGCTTTCGGGCTTACGAGATCCGAATTTACGTCGTTTTCATATTTTTTTGATATCCCGCGTGTACTGACTTTTAACTTGATATGGAAAAAAAAAAAAAAAAAAAAAAATGGAATTTTCATCGATATTTTTTTAATCGCCGTCTTTGTACTACATACATACCCACACCTACATGTTGTTTTGATAGCTCGGGCTCTTGGCACATCGCGTTTGTTGTTGCGTTACATACCAAAAATTTAGTCGACTTGGTAGTGGGCCCTCACGCTCGGCTAGTATACTTTTACCCACATTGCCCGAAACACATCGAATCGTTTCTCATGACTTTTGTACATTTTCACCGAGAAAGTGCCGTAAGTTATCATTTGGAATGTGATAATCGTTTTGACTCGTGAAAATTTTTATTGCAACAGTTTTTTAGTCATCAAAGTTAGATAAATTTTTGCTTTGGGCACATTAACACAAGACAAACAGTATATTGGTACGTGGCATACAGGCCGATTAGTTGCTGCTTGTATCTTTGAGAGAAAACTGCTGCACGAGTGAGTATATTATGCACTATAACTTTCAAATTGAATATTATTTTAGTCTAGTGTTGGATTTTTTGAAATTATCGCTCTACTGTGGTGCTTACGGGCGATAATACTTACTTAGCCATTAAGTGAGAACAATAAAATAGATAGCCGATACGTGTCATATCCACACTATTTTTTTAAATACTTCCATTTTGATTTTTTCCGAGTCACAACTATATTTTCGTGTTTCCATGGACGTGTTATGGGTTACATGTTGCAATTCACTCAAAGTACTATCCAATTATAGACCATAAACGAGAATAACTAACCCACTGAAGGACAAAGGCTCGCAAGTTTCTTAAAAAGTAATGCTTACGATAAAAGACGTCCAATAAAACGTGCACAATTTAAAAATATTTATTAAACATGGCCGTGTACAAAAATAAGTTTAACGATATCGTGATACAAAAATACATATACATATTATGTAAAAATTTCTCCCAACACTTAATGCAGTAATGCAACAAACAAACGTACCGTAAAAAAGATGCGACGCGTATCACATCTCGCGCTTATCCAAACGACACGTGTCCCGTACACCTACAATGGTCATCCTCTCCCAAGTCACGCAGTACTAGCCGCAGTGTCCTTGAAACGAGACAAAAAAAAACAAAAAAAAACAGAAGTGTAGCTTTAATCGAAAACACCGATAACCCCTTTCAAGCCCACTGACATTAATGGAAAATACCTCGTCACTTGGATCTGAGTGCCTCGGCCGCCTCCCCATCACCATCGCGTCCGCCTTGATCTTGGACATAACCCGATACCGATCGATGGCCGGAAAAAGCTTGGCCATGCGCTCGAAGGCCCCGAGATCCAGGCGCACCAGTAATCCAGAGGCAGAGCCCCGGAACAACAGACCAAAAGCCCCGTCCCGCTCGTCGAAGCCCAACTCCACCGTCAGGCCCTGGCTCTGGTAAATGCTTCTCGGTGTCCCCGAGCCAAAGTCCCGAAAGATCGGCTCGAGCTGACTCTTCAGTTTTTCCACGCAAGCCAAGCCCAGCTTGAGCTTCTTATCCACCTCAGCCGAGCACAGTTTAACGAAGAACTTGAGGCTACCGCTGTGGGTGATCTCGTCCTCGCAGACCACCCACAAACGAGCATCGACGAGGTAACTTTCGCAGTATCGCTCGGGCCTGTAGCTCCTACGAAAATTTCGCAACAGCACGGTTTTGCACAGGGAGGACATGTCGTTGGTTTCGACAACTCGATACTCGGGAGCTCACTGATTCGGCCTGTGCGTGTGTTTCATCGGCAACATGCTTGTGTAGAAACCATTAGCCCGATGCTTATCAGCTTGTAGTATACAGGAATAACGAGTAAGCGCGGGCGTGTGTGTTCATTGGACAATTAGTTCCGAAAACATTAAGTATATATATATGTTTCAATATTAATATTTAAAACCTGTTACGTAAGCAAAGAAATAATTATCGTAATACATTTGCATTTCTGTATTAACTAATATTTATGAAAAAAAAGGCGACGAAAAACGTTTTGTCACAGTTACATATTGTTAAACATACCAGGTTACATCAGTGACCCTACTNTATATATATATATATATATCCACGTGGGTCTTACGTAGTTTCTTCTTAGCTCAAAGGCCCGTTAATTTTATCGAGGATTTACGTACGATTTGGAGCTCGACAGCTTCGTGGGGCAATGGATCCATTTTGATTCTCATCGCCTTTTATTCTCTAGATCCTGCGGGGCCGATAACTTTTCTCTCGTTACACGCAAGGGGGCTTTGAGGTGCATACGTGCACGCGCCGCGGATGAAGAAAATTCGTAAAAGGGTGCGAGTCATTTGCAAAAGAGCAGGTGGAGGGGGAGGGGGGTGATGTGATGACGAGTAGTTTTCACGAGGAGCGAGACGACGCGCCGAGGAAAAAGGCGACTCGGGGAGAAAAGAAGGCCGCGCTCTTGCGCGATATGCCCGAATATTTTGTCCGTTTCTCTTTGCCCTCGAGCTCTGTCTGAGATCAAACGGCTCGTGCTCTCGTACATTTTGACGCGTTTGCAGGGCAGGGGACGGGTTTCTGTAATTATCGCTAAGTAGGTGTGTATACGCGCGACAGGGTCGGGATTCTTCCTTGGGCTTTCATTATTATTGCCTCGAGATATTCAAGGGGTTACATCGTGTGTTGCCATAGCTTCAAACGTTTCATCGGAACACCATCAAATTAACTTAATTGATCATCGACGTCTTATCGGAAAATCAAATCGACACCCAAGATAACAACTGATCACACGGGCAAAAGGGGGACGCGGCTGGAGTTATTTGATGACTCGAGCGAAATGGTACCGTAGGGGGCCCGGGGGTGTCAAAGAGAGACATTGTGATGGGGTGCAGTATTGTACGGCGAGGGAGCCTCGATCGACTTTGAATTTCGTACTAACTTACTCATGATTCAACAAGTGACGCTTGAAATTGGCGTTATGTACACATACGTGGTATAATTTTTTTTTTTTCAAGAGAAAGTTCAACTCGAACCACGTACATATTTTGTATATGGTCGACTAGTGATCAACTATTGTTCTCCATTAATTCAAGGGGACTTTGATTGGTAATGTCCAAATCTCTCGTCACGTCTATCGTCGGTACACGACTAAATACATCACGGAAATCAAAGCTCGTACATCCGAAAACACCGCACCACCGGAGTATCCGACGAAGGAACAAATTACTTTTACCATCAGGGGGAGAGCCGAGTTCACTCGCGTCCCGATAAATCCCCTGTTCCAAGGAATCCATCTGAGCCCATACGTAGCGAAAGAATCGTCCCGGGACCCTTAAATTCACAGGCTAAAATAGGTCGACGTACACAGCGGGTGGGAGCCAACCAAATGGCGCGGCTGTTACAACGCGAGAGAATATATACACACCAATGCCGTGGGACATGTATGTACATACATATACGTACACATAAAAGTAAACTGGTCTGGAAACATTTACTGTTTGCTTGTTGACGGTAATCGCCGGTTTGGCGGCGCGCATCGGTTATTCCATCGGTGGATCGGATGTGTACACTCGAGTAGTTTTTAAATCAAGTATACGCACCTTATATGCATGTATCTGATTGGAAAAGTGGTCCTTTCCTCCTATGATGATGATAATAATAATATAGATTTTCGGCCCCGCTGATGGTACAATTGGTGCTGGATGCATGTAAAAAATGTAAATCAAAAAGTCGTAAAAAAAAAAAGAGCAAAAGGGAGGAGAGGGCGCGTGCGCATCGGCGCCCACTGCTCTCTCTCTGTGAGGGGTAGGTAGGACGTACAGAGTCTATGCACTATACCTATACAGAAAAGAGCGAAGAGCAGTGGGGGTGGCTTTGATTACTTGTTTTAATCTTCCGACGAGAGACTACCGAGCATCTGTCACTCAAAACCTGGTAATTGCGAGCGCGCGCTACCACCCACCCCCTTCCCCCTTCCCACTACTACCCCGTGCTCGACCTGTCCCTCTCTTGTGGCTTGCTTCGCGTCCAAGAGAGACAGACGGACGCTAAGCTGTAGACAGCTATATATATATGTGCGTGGAGACGCGAAAATCTTTGCCGAATCTAGCTGGGTGGACTTGATTTCTGGTGACAAGTTCCGTGCCGTGTGTTGGAAGGGACACGTGGGCCGACTTTTTTGTGTCGGCTATAGGTATATGTAGGTACCCGTTGTTCGAGGTGGCCACTCTATCGGAAGCGAGCTGTTGTTTTTCGAATTGTTGATGTGTGGCTCTTTTGTGTCTCATTTGGTCTCTTAATTTTTTTTTTTTTTTTTTTTTTATCAATCAGCTCGAGAGCACGCCGATCCATCGACGTTGATTGCTTTCTAATGAGATTTTTGAGGCAGCACAAGTGCTGCGGTGTTCCACCGCGAGGCTATTAATCTCTGGTATTCACAGATAATAGATAACACACGTAGCAGAGATGTAGTGGAAATTTTTTTTTTTTTTTTACTGTTAATTTAACATTTTTTTATACATGTTATAAATATGATTTCTATTAATAATAAAATGTTGGCCATAGTATTACAAAGTTTAAGCTTACTTTACATGCATCATTTCAACTTTAGCTACATTGCTGCGTCAACATAACAATAGCTCCGTCCTAGTATCATATCGTGTGGGGCAAGTGGTAACGAGACTAGCGACATGTTACGCAGTGCTAAGTCCAGTTCCCCAAATTTTAAAGATCGTAGAAGAGGACTGAGTTATAGGTAAGACACCACAAAACAAAATGCATACTCTGACGCTAATTGAGATTAATTAAAAACATCTTAACTCTCTGGAAGACGGTTGCATAGTCAATT